TATCCGTTATATTGTTTTACTTTTGTAAAACTCTTGAGAATAAAGTCATTTTTCAAGCAATTTTTAATTTCTATTATCGTTCTCAACACTTAGACCACTCTCTCATTTTGCATCTCGCCAAAGTTACCGGAATCTCCTCGACCACATGGAAGCTTTTATTCCTAACTCGTCTCGTGTATTGCATCTCGAGCGGCATCGTCGTGTCGGAACAGTCAACTTTGACCTTGCTTACCACTCTAATTAGCGCGAGGGATCTCGTAACGGTAAGCTCGATAATTCTGAACCAATTCCCTGAGCAAGAAGCGAAAAAAGGAGAGAGTGAACGATTCGCAGAGACCCTCGGGAACCCCCGGATGATCCCGAGCGTGTCCGAAAGAGCGGCGTTTCCCCAAATAAATCGGCAAGATCGGCTACTCACCTAACGAGCTGTACAGAAAGTAGCATAACGCCGGCATCCAGGAGGCCGCCGTGGAGGACGCCTTGAAAACGTGCAAGAACTCGACGAAGAGCACGCCGAACGACTTGACCGTGCCCGGGATCAGAAAGTTGACCACGAGAGCGGAGAAGAGAACCACCCAACCCCATCCGCCGTCCGGCGGGACCGTTTTCGTTTTCGTCTTCCTCTTCGCGGTCGACATGCTCTCTGCCGCGGTGTTGCAAGGTCGTGCCGCGTCGGTTCCGCGCGATTCTCGGCTGTAAGTGTTCAAGGGACGAGTAGCTGTTACGCATGGATTATAATAGACACTTTCTGCCGTCGCTGCGAAGGTAAGAGAGAAAGATTATTATCGGCATTAAAAAGGATAAATCAGCCGGCCGGATCACGTGTCCTCGACGCGACCGCGCGCTCTGTCTCAACAACGTGACCAAAGGAATCGCTACCATGAGAGCGACCATGCGACGAGATCTTCGTCGATACAGAACTAATTTCTTTTTCTTCCTATGCCATGAATGGAAAAGACTCCGCATCTTTCGTAGCTTGTACAATGAGGCATACAGACAAAACAGACATTTCGCAATTAACATACGCAACAATATCATGCTAGTAACATTGTCGTTAGGAAGTTACAGAATAGATCTACAGTAGATCTATATCTGTCAATAAATAATTACAATTAATTAAATAAATACAATAATCTTTATATATTGTATGTTTTAGTAAGTCACTTTTAAAAAGTTTGAAAATTAATGATTCAGAGATAAACAAATTTTGTAAAATGTCTCCCATTTTGTCCTAGAAAGCAGAATTGAAAGTGATTTTTAAGTTAATTTTCATTTAATTTCTTTATGTTTTTATTTTTAATTATTCTTCACAGCAAAACTTGTGTTTTCTTACAATAGAACATTTCAAAGAATATTTTGATGCAGCACGAAGAAAGATTTGGAAGTAATGTGTTAAACAGTTCCCGGAACACCCTCAAATGGTCCACTGAGGACAGGATGGTTTTAGCCGATAAGAGACCCCACGATTTTTCCCAGGGACGAGAGGATCCATGAGAATTTCCAGCCCGTTAACAAAAAAAATACGAAGAGAAAGTTCATTTATTTATTTTTAATATGTTTGATATGTGCTTAAACATTATGGTCCCCATTATGCCCCAAGTTCCCTTATGATTAAAAATTGCGTGAACGATATAAAATCGCACTTGCAAAATTACGCGCGACTTAAAATTATATTTACGATATAAAATTGTGGTGTAATATATTTTGCATTCATTGCAATCCTTAAAAAAGGTCGCGTCATGGTACACAATTTTATAAATCGCATATCTTTAGTTATAGCCAGTACCACGCTGAGCGTCGACATGCAGGAAATGGTGGTCGATATTACCCCCGGTGGTCCGACATTGTCCCAATTCTAAAACCGTACATGAGGCTGTAATAAGTATAGTTGCGTTTTAATTGAGAAGCACCGATCAACTCCGCATCGATCAGACCCGCACGGAAAAAAATAATTTGCTGCAGCAAACTAATTTACTACATATGGACAGTTAAATATAATTCACTTAAGGGAATTATATAATTATATAATTCGCGTAAGCTACTTTTTTTGCTGCAGGAACTTATTCTCTTCCTACGATAACAAGAAAATCTGCTCTTACAGCAAGAAAAGTGGCTAACGTAGCAAATTTGCTACGTTAGCCACTTTTCTTGCTGTAAGAGCAGATTTTCTTGTTATCATAGCAAGAAAATCTGCACCTGCAGCAAAGAAAAAATGGTTAATACAGCAAATTATGTTTAGTTGTCCATATGTACCAGATCTTTTTTTTCCGTGCGTCAGACCCAACCGGTGAAGTGGAACAGAACGTACATTTGAATAAACTTCATATGACTCATTACTGGAAATAGTAAAAGTAATATACTTAGCGGTATTCGCGCAGCATTGACGCCGTGTCGGCTCGTGTATCTTTGTCATATTAATAAACATCTCGGACGGCGGGCACGTACGTCCCGTCGTGTTGTATGTACATGCCGCTCGCGACGCAATCTCAAACACACACATTGTGCTTCGCGTGTTACGCGCCGCAGCGGCAGCCCGACTATCTCGCGTGGTGCGTGGCCATTAATTTTGGAATTGCAGCTATTATGCGGTTTTTAGATCAGAACCTGTCGTCACGTATCTGCACCTAGCCGTCAATTTAGGCGTCAAATTGCACGGGAACGTAATGGAAGTTTGACAACAGTTCTGAGCAATGATTGTACAGAATCTGCGGCGAGGAGAGGGTAGCTGGGAGACGGATACTCCAGCGCGGATTCGTCACGACGGAGAATCGAGCGCGTTTGAAAATGCAGGTCGCGACGTTGCGTTGCAATTCTTCCGTCAGTCCTTCCATTACGGCTTTAATCGAGAATAATTCGTCGCAGTCGCACCGCTCGAACGAATCTCACCGCTCGGCTCGGATCCGCGTCAGGTTTGTTCGTCCCGCGAGCTGCCTCTACTGTCGCATTGAAATTTTTCCTCTCGATGAGAATCGACGCGTGCACAAAAGGCCCCGCGCGACCTCCGAGGGTCAGCCACGTTTGCATATTGAGTTTGCCTTTGCGTTTGCGTTCCGACGCGAACGCAACCGCGCAGCGCGCTGCGGTACGGCACAACGGTGAGAAAAGTCCCGTAATCGCAACCACGGTTGCACAGGTTGCGCGGGTAATACTATGCAACGAGTAGGCAGGTCGTTCGCGAACACCACGCCTGGGTACTATGAATGATTCCATTTACTACGGATGCGTAAAACGCTCCAACGCGATCGAGCGCGCCGCAATTGGAATCGGCGCGCCATTCTCCGCCATGTACTGGGTGTGCAGAAAAGATGTGCACAGGTGCGCGATCAGCGGAGAAGATGTCACGGCATTTTTACCTCGAAGAACCCGCGGACTTCTACGTAATATCTAGACTGCTGCTATCAGGCTTACTCAGACATGATGCACAGCTAAGTCTCGCCGCCATATTTCCGAAAGGCGTAAAATGAGCGTATGCAGAGTTTGAGGAAAAGAGCTCGATACTTGAAAAGCGCATAGTACACGCGAAACAGAGGAAAAAGTTGATGATATTATAAGCTTTGGTTTCCAAGTTGATGCCAATTAGATTTGAACAACCGGCACGCTTGCCTTTACGAAATATGGCTGCCATCCCCACCCCGACTTGCATCAATTTCTCGATTGTGCGATACGGATGTTAGCACAGTTTAGGTATTAATCTATAATGGTATTAATCTAGCAAGGTAGCAATCTACTCTTTCCTTTCTGTTTCTTGTCTTCTGTCTTCTTCTGGCTTAAGACTTAACATTTGAGCCAGAAAGAGAAGAGAAGAGAGAGATAAGAAGAAAGAAAGAAAGAAGAAAGAAAGAAAGAAGAAAGAAACAGGAAGCAAAGAACACATTGTAGATAAAGCTTTATATAGAAGTCCGCGGAGCGAAGACGTCCAGTATATCCAATATGAGAATTTATCTTCTGTGAGATAAATTTATCTCTAAGAAACAAATTCTCTGTCGGATGCGAGTGAATTGAAAGGAAAGAAAGTGTTACAACCTTTGGTCCATTGATCGCACTTCACGATAAGACGGGACACCACGCGGCGGTTCCTTTTCTTCACGAGAAGATTTGGAGGAAGTTATGAAAAGAGAGAAATAAAAGATGTTGTTTAGCGAGCGAATCGCACGATTGTCCACTCGGCGATAAATAACGATTGTCATGGCGGTGCATTCTCTCCCTCTCCCTCCTCTTTCTCTCTCTCTCTCTCTCTCTCTCTCTCTCTCTCTCTCTCTCTCTCGCGCGCGCGCGCGCATTCTCGTTGAGAATTCTCTCGTGGTACCTTATATCGTGCGAGAATACAGCTCGACACTCGTTCGTGAAACAGCCATGACGCGCCATCGTGTCACACTGTAAATAGCGAGAGGCGGCCGTTACTTGGCGGCATTAGACAGTTTTACGTTTCGATCTTGCTTGATATTTATTCGAAATCGTTTTACGAGCTTCGTGCGCGATTCACCGTCCCTACACGCACATTCTCTCTATCAGCGTGGCATGCGCAAGATAGCGTATAAACGTGAGCAATCGCATCCGCGGCAAATAACAAACGACATGCTCGTTAACGTTCAGACGCCTTGAAGCATTACGATGAATTAATATCCGTAAACAGAATTCGAAAGGAGAAACGTGCTCCGAGAGAGGTACGAGAAGGTAACGGGTAGATGTGAAAAATATGCATACGCAGAAACACGCGCCGAGAGTACGTGTGTCACGTCGCGCGATACTCACGCACACCCTCCGCGAAAGATAGATTGCGTGTCGCCTGTATTTTCCGTCGCCGCGACGGACGTCGTTCGTTTTTAGAAAGCGGGCTGTTCGACTCTATCTTCCATTCAGTTTCTCATTTAATCGAAACCTTCCTCGTTGCTTGCATCATCATCACTCGCGTTAGCCGCGTTACTCATTACGGCCGCTCTTTGTTCATTTTCAATTACAACATTAGAACACAAATCACAAGTGGTGGACTCGATTTTTCTTCGTCGACCTCGTTCGGCGTCTGTTCGATTTCCTTTACTTCGTCTCGATCTTGTAATATATGAAATTACGACACGAATCACAATAAGGAGATGATTCGATTTTTTTTTTCGTCAATCTCGTCTACGTCCGTTCTATTTCGCGCTTACTCAGTCTTGTAATATATGAAACTACAACACAAGTCACAAATGCCGATGATTCGATCTCGTTTGCGACTGTTCGATTTCGCTTACTCTATCTCGATCTTGCAATATATGATATCACAGCACGAATCACAAACGACGATGACTTGATTTCTCTTTGTTGATTTCGTTTATTCTGCCTCAGTTTTGCAATATATGAAATGTATGCATTTCAATTTTGCAATATTGCATATTGCAAATATTGCAATATATGCAATATTTGAATTACAGCACACATATAACAAACAAAGATGACTTGATTTTTCTTCGGTAATCTCATTTATTTCCTGTCGATCTTGTCAATATATCCTTTAAAGAACATTGTTTGACGATTGGAGGAGCATACGCGCGTCCGTTTTTCTCGAGTATACGCGCACATTTGACAACAGAAATGCCGCGGCATGTCGAAACTGGCGACGGCATCGTGCGCAAAATGTAACGAATAATTTCACAAAGCACAGTACATACGTTTCCTATGTATGTGCAGCTTCAAATCAGGCATATACAAGATTACATAACGCGAGCAGACACGCGACGTGCAAGGCTACCGCACTCTAATAATATTAGTCAACAAACCTAACATCCTTTTTGCAACTCTTTCTGAACTCTTTTGTGAAACCTGACACGTTTAGTCTAAATACGTTATCGATATAATGTAATATTTTGCGGCGTTCACTTGTGCCTCAATGCGCGTAGAGAGTTTAAAGAGTCGAGACAATCTCCCGGAAATGCCGAAGAGAAATTAAAAATTTCCGTTGAAATCCAGTGAAGTAAACTCACATTAGAAGATTATCAAATACGACGTGTACGCAACTTAACTTGACTTGAAAAAACGTGGCAACAACTTAAAAATTCAAAACTTGAACGATTTCTGACGAACAAAGGTCCAATCAACTGTTCGAGTATCGAAGAATATTAAAGACATCTAAGCATCACTGAAATCAACGAACACGACAAAACACTCTTCGCCCAATTAATACACGTCCAAAAATAATAATAACCACACACTGACCTGGAAGACATTTCTTCTCCTTTCGGCATCACTTCTTCTTCACCGTGGTGGCGATGAAGAAGGCTGCGGTAGGCGGTGAGCTAAATCACCCCCGTCGGAAGGCTGTTCTCGCTCTGGCAGGAGGGCAACGGGAAGCAGGATGCTCATCGGACGTTTGCTATCATCCTGTGTCTTCGACTAGACTGCACACCAGCACCGGAGAACCCGTTCCTCTCCCTCTTCTTTTTCCCTCAGCTCTCCTCGAATCGGCGCAGGAACACCCGAAGGCTGCCCCCGACTTTTATCGTACCAAAACGGTCACCGCGCCGCGCCATTATAAGACCGGTGTGCACCACGATGGGCACGTACACACGGTGTATACGTACAATTGTTTCCCCCAAGCTGGCTGGTTGACTAGTTGGCTGGCTGGTTGGCTAGCTACTTAGCTATCTGTCTATCTGACGAGTTAGCTAGCTGACTGACTGACTGACTGACTGACTGACTGACTAGCTAGTTGACTGGCTAAATGACTGATTTAATGACGACTAGCTGGCTGGTTGATCGGTTGGGTGACTGACTAACTGGCTAGTTGGTTTACTGGCTGATTGATTGGCTGACTGATGGCTGATTGACTGGCTGGCGGGCCGACTGGTTGCTTAGCTAGCTGGCTGACTGGCTAAGCTGGCAAAGCCGCCTTAACCGAGCTACTACACAGAAGTGTTCTCCTTATACCGCGGAGAGACTACGAGGTGGAGACAGGTCGAGTAGCGCGATCCAGCGCGTGATTGCAGAGAGGGTGGGAGATTCTTCGCACGCACAACCACCGCTTGCTGTTGGCTCCCACCATCGTCACGACGGTGCGGTACGACGCTACGGTGCCCGCCGAGATTTCCAGCAAAGACCAGATTAACGCTTTACCCATACAGCGAAACAGGATCCCGAGAATATTCGCCAGGCGTGTATGTATGTTTTTGGAAATTTTTGGATGACGTGTAACACACAATTAATGTGCGTATAATTGATACTCGGATACAGGATATACCTGAAATGATAAATTACAAGATATCCTTGGGGTGTTTATTTGCTAAACTTTCTCTCTCTCTCTCTCTTATTAAATTAACTAATAGATCGCAACAAACTCTTTTCTTGATAAACCTGTATCCAATGATGAGTGTAATATATTTGTAGATGACTCCCAATATTAAATTCAAATGACTGATTTAAATCATTTTTTTCAACACACGTGCGCACACACGTACCTGTTATCTCATTTAAGCACTCTTAACGTGTCCTTCTTCAAAATTGGTATTGCAAGTCTTAAAATTTTTTAAGATTTTTAGTCTTTCGTTCATTTTGTTTCAATATCGAGATCTATATGACAATATAGTTATAATAATACTAGCACGCGCGAGAGAGAATATACTATAATTGTTTACATCTACATTTTCAATTAGCGATTATATATACATATATGTATATATATAGTCGATATAACGATATTATTCAGCTGGGCTAGAGAATACAGGAGAACTTCTTCTCCACTCCTTTTCCTCTCCCAGCGGCGAATCCTGATCTTCCTTTTAGGCAACGACCTTTTCCTCCGCCTGTACTCCTTGTGCTTCTCCACCTTCTGCTCCCCTCCTTGCTCGGCGAGTCCGGCTCTCGGGATCGTCATTCCGCAGGTTCGCATCATTAGTTTTTATTTTGCGACGGTACCGTGCTATTTTTATCCCACAGATCTCCTCCTCCTCATTTCTTCCTTCTCCTCGTCTTCTTCTTCTTCTTCGTCCTTCTTCATCCGTCCTCGAAGACTACTTGCTCACGTAGCTATTAAGACGAAACTTGAGGCCAAAAGACCCAGAGCACAACGGAGCGAGGATTCCGATGTTCATAGATAAAAAAGTTTAGAGAATTCTGTCCTGTATTGTTGCTCGATATTTTGCAATAAATACGAAGATAAATTTCTCGAAATGAGGTAACATTTAATTAGGATGCGCTGCTTTTTACGTTTCCTTATTTTTCTCGTTGTTGACTCGGGGAAACGGATTGCGAAACAGACGGAAATAGGATAGGACTACGTAAAAAAATGTAAATACGAGAATCGGAGATTCTGAATTAATTCGAATACCGCGGAGGCCGCTTACCGCTCCGCGCGCTTCTCTCATCGTATTTTTATTTTTTCTTTATACCGGCAGCACACGACAGAGCGCGGCATACCTTTCACTACCTTCGCAACCTTCCACGGCTGCGCGATTATTAACATAATGTTTTCCATCGTACGTCGCTTTTCGCCAGTACGGGTTTCACGGCGGAACGCCACAACTCGACTACTACGTACGCGCACACGCGTCCAAGCCTAAGCAAAAGCGCTAACGCGAGAACTGGTTTTGCCGCAGAATATTCGAGCGAGCGAACAAAGAAGGCCGCAGCATTGATTGCTGGCGATTACGGTAAAAGTTCAGTCTTTTTTTTTTCTTCGACTAGAACGTGGAAAAGGAGATTCGTCGGATTTACCGTTTGCGCGATATCCATTTCGATTTCGGGATCGATTCCATTTCGATTTGTTTGTGTTCACTGCAATATTTGAATATAGGTTTGTGCGTAACAAACAATTTCAGATTTCTCAAATGAAATGTAAAAAATTGTATGAAATGTAAAAGATTGTATTTTTATGATTTTTATATCTTATAACGCATTATTTATAGCCATAATTTTTTTAGGCAATGTATGCACAGTTTTGATTTATGATGCTCTGTCATACTTAACATACACCGTTTGATAAGATCGTGAGAACGCACAAAATATAATCGTTTTATTTCTTTAAAAATCTTAAATTACTTATTATACGTTATATATATATATATATATATATATATATATATATATATATATATATATATATATATCTTAGAGAGAAACATGACGATGGAAAACTTTGACAAAATAATTTATTGTAAACTATATTTATATATCAATTTTCTATATAACAAAACTTGTATATAATTGTCTATATAGTTGTTATCACCGTGTCTTTTCTCTGAATACAGACGAAAGTCTGTCTAAAGGATGTCTTAGGAACATTCAAAAGGGCATCGTATTCCTTCCAGACATTCTTAAGACGCGGTTTAAACCCTCTTGTTGTTTGAACGTATTTATAATGCATGCATCAGCTGAATGGCCAAACAAAAAACCGTAGACCTTCCGATAATTAATGCCCAAAGATTGCACAGGTTATAATCTACCTGGTATGCCGTAATGATGGAAGAAACCGTAGTAATATTTATAGTTGTTACGGGTACCAGCATGACTGGAAGTAATTGCGCGGCGTCAATATTAGCCCGGTCTGGTCAAGAATAGCTTCGATGGGAATCCCGTCTGACCACCTTGCGCTCTGATCGGTCATCGTCTAAATTAGGGTGAATGTGCCGTTGTAGAGGCGTCGTTATCATTATTCGGTTATCGACTGGTCGTATCGCGACGCGCACGCTGATAATCGGTGCGTTTTGTTACGCGAGCCGCGTAATAGTCCTGTAAATTAAACGATCAGAAGTGAAAACTGGATAAACAAGATTATACGTTGCCCCGCGTGTGTCACTTGATTATATCGTGTTGTTGCCTGCATACACATGGGTTTTAATCGATTTAACAAGGATGTTCGAGTCGAAATTGCTTCGCCGAACATTTGACGTTTACGGGAGGAAATTGTCTGCGGAATAAAGCGTTTGTCTCACAATATATTGCAATGCCCTTTTGCTAAGTTATCTTTTAGCGAAATAATGGAATCTCGTGCGTGAAGTTAAAAGTTATGTGTGTTGGAACAGTACATTGCCAAAACTTACAGTTACCTCAGTCACAGTTTGGATACCGAGTCCAGTATGTTAATTATAAAAAAGCGGACGGTAAGTGAGAAGCCACAGCATGTTCGTCATTTCAGCTTCTCTCTCATTCGCTTCTCCCTATTATATATGGTAGGTCGAGAAGCCAATCAAAAATTGACCACCGGTATCCGATCGCGAACAAAAAAATTGTTCGTAATTTTTCAAATGAGTTTGTAAACTCATCCTTCTTGTTCAGTAAGCCTCGTTTTACAACAGGAGAATTCTCCCATTGGACAAAACGGATGAATTCACAAACTCACACCCCAAAAATTATGGACAACTTGCTTGCTCGCGGCTGTTCAAGCTCTGAGGACTGATTTTATCAACTTCTTGATTAGTTAACAGTTAAATCGTATGTCTGTCTTTATCTAATTTGAAAGAAAAACAAAGAGAGATGTACGATTTAATTGTTAGCTTACCAAAGGACGAAAAAGAAAAATCGACCCTAGAATTCTAAAACCAAAAACTCGAATATCATCACCACCTACGGCTGCTACCATCGCCTCCCCGTTAAAGCGCTCTCTAGCGGCTGAGTAGCGCATTTCACTCGGAACAAAGTAGCGTCCGGAAATTGGGAACATTGGGAAAGAGTAACGAGGGCGTACTAACAATTAATCGATATTCATCGTATTATTTGCTTTATACAGAAAAAAAGTTATTCAACAAACGTAAGTTATACCTAACAATCAGTCGGTATATATGTATATAGACATTTTTTTTACAAATATATAAATACACTTAGTTACAAAAATAAATGGAACTTTTTATCCAAGGCTCGGCGTTTCGCGAATTATTACAGGTAATATTTTGCGAGATATACGCTCGTATAAATTAATTAATTATTAAGCGCGGCACACCAATTGTGGCGAGACTTTGTAACTTGTAAGATACAGTATATCTTCGTTTTGTAGGCTTAGACACAGAATGATCGATTGGCGGTATAACTGGAAAGGATTAAAAGAAAAGATGACAAAAATTAAACATATACTTTTTACGCAAAATTCCGAGGTACCGGAATATTTTTGAGATATTGTACGTACATGCATATACATATAAATTGCACATATATCATCAACTTGCCAATTTTACCACCAATAACGATCTTTACCTCTCTATCTTATGTACGTATTGTAATATTATTATATATATAACTATGTTATATATTGAAATTAATATTAATTATTAGTATCATTATTAGTACATTTTACGATCGGTGCCATCAACAATGAAACAAATTTTGGCAGGTGAAGAATTTCATAATATTAAAGATGTTTCATTGTTGATGAAATCGAATCTTTTTGAACACATTTCTTTTCTTATATCTCCGCGAAAACGATGTTTTCTTTTTTTTATCACGAGTACTAGGCAACATTATTACAAAATACCACTCAATAAACATGTGTCTCATTAAAATGTAAGTTAGCAGAGAAAAGGGAAGTAACGAGATACTTGTGCCTTCTACGTCGCTTGTTAACTTGATTAGTAATTTCGTTCCCATATCATACATAAAATTGCATAAATAAATATGCAAATTATTATATAATTTTGTTGTTCAAGTCTCTCATCTCATTATCTTTCCTCTCATATATGAAAAATAATATATTGTAATATGTATGAATAGTTTAAAAAACGCGGTGTAATTATTTGTTGGTTTTTGAGAATATTAAATATTACAATGTGAGGCAGCATACAGATTAAAATTCGTAGAGAATATATACTTGAGATATCGTTAATTATAAAATTCTGTGCGTGAAGATTGTTATTGGCCCCATTTCGACATTATTATAACAGCATAAAATTTCAACCACTACATACAATAAAATATACACAATTGACTGCACTTATCTACACGAAAGCAAGCCGCAAGTTTTTGAATGCGATATTAAGAAGTTTATTCACCAAACATAATATTTTCAAGGCGCCCAAGTGGCGTATTTCCAATGATATAAAGGAAGCTACTCATAAATTCGCTATTTCTTTAACAAAATTACATTTTTTATATATTTTCCTACTATTTAACCAATAAATGTTAATTTGAAACTAATTTCATAATACCATCTTTACTTAACATCACGTTTTACTCAATATAATGTTACTCAAAATATAAAGCTTGATCTACAATGTGTTATTTGCTTCCTGTTTTTTTTCTTTATCTCTTTCTGACTTACACTTTAAGCCTTAAACTAAAAAAAAAAAAAAAGAAAAAGAAAAAAAAAAGAAAAAAACAGAGAAAAAGGAAGCAAAGAGAGGATATAATAAATTAGGCTTAAAACAGCAGTTTTCAGGCTTACAATCGACCATTACGCAAAAACGATGTAGCGAATACTATTCTTTCTTTTATATCGCGTTTCCTAATATATAACATTTATAACGATACGTTTTTTATTTGGAAGCTATCATTTGGAAGCTATCATTTGGAAGCTATTTTTTATAAAGTGAGATGATGCTCATTTATATTTCTTCTACCACAAGGCGACATGTGCGAAATTGCGGCATGTAGTATTAAATTTCTCCTGAACGATGCAAACAAATCGCGTAAAACCGAAACTACGAATGTGTTTTACTGCGATAAATATTATGTTAAATTTTTCGATAATTTTAAACATCTCTTGGTTTCAGTGAATAAACTCCTCAAGCGATACGTCGCATTACAAATAATAACTGAACTGTACTGTCCTGGCGACATATCTGATAATACTCGCACAAACAGAATTCCTAGTGAAACTTTTACAAAAATAATGTATTGGTCATTGGGCTATCGCTTCTGATATTCAAATCAAATTGTAGAAACTGACCCATTACGTTAGAGAAAATTAAAATTTTGGCCTGTTTGATTAATCATCACTCAAATATCCTTCTTTCGCACGCGTCCCACATCTCATACTTGCTTTATTGTCATATTATGATAAATCATATCAGTGTTATTGTCATAAAATGACGCGGACATCAATGTGATCATCGATGAGGCGTTACCTTTTATCGGAGTATTATCAATTATCAGCAAACTCGGTTGTGTTGGTGTTGTTGGCGTTGTAGGAGTGCTCGATCGAAACAAATCCGTATCTCCTTATCCTTCCCGTGCACAAATGCATGAATCTCTATATTTCTCCAAACGTTCCAGTTGTAGTTAGAACTCACCGTGAAAAATGTGGGTCCAATAAGCATAAAGCCGACTGCCAATTTAGCTGGTCTCGATATTACAGCATACAACATTTCTTTTTATTTTTCTTGTAGTTCGGTTTAAGTGGTGGCCGCTCTGACAGTTGAAATTTCCGGACGATTCGTACCAGTTCGTGAAAAGCTTGATCAACGTTCATACGTAGCTTCGCGCTGCACTCGATGTATGGAATTTTTAGTAGACGTGCCATATTTTGCGCCTCTTCGACCGACACCTACAATTGAGTTTCTTATTGAGAAAAGGGAAAAGCGGGAAGAATTCAAGTGAAAGATAGAGAGCGATACTTACGCTTCTATGATTATCCAAGTCCGCTTTATTGCCAACCATCAACATAGGGAACTCGTCTCGATCCTTTACCCGAAGTATTTGCTTGTGAAACTTCAATATCTCCTCAAAAGACGAATGATCGGTGACGGCAAACACGAGTAGAAATCCCTCGCCGCTTCTCATGTACTGTTCGCGCATTGCACTAAACTCTTCTTGGCCGGCAGTGTCCAATACTGCAACACAAACGTAGCTTAAACTTCCATAATGATCCCAATGAATTTCTAAAATCTTTTCAGTTTCCAAATACGAACATTTAAATCTACATCTAAACGCGGGGACTTACACGTGAATTGACAATGGGTCTGTTTTCTATTGCTGAACTGGCTGCACTAGTTTTCTCTCATCTTTCTTCCACCAAATTTTATCTGTATATCTGTTTCTTTTTAAATTCCAAAAGTGTACACTAGTTCAGCAATAGAAAACAGACTCAATGTCAGCCAACAGTTACCACGTTGAATCGTAAACGTAACTTTCATATATTTTTTTACTTACTATCAAGTTTTGCGGGCACATCGTCGATAACACACTGCTTCGTGTAGGAGTCCTCGATCGTGGGATCATAATCGGTCACGAAATAACTCTAAAAAGTAGAACCAGAATATAATCTGTACCAGCTACGAAAGTATTATCGCATCGCAAGCATACACATGCAAAATAATTTCTCCACAGCTCTGAAATTACGTTTACATTTTAGCGCCATAGCCCAACCGTTCGGTCGATAACGATCATCGAGCGCGACCTGCATTATCGACTGTTAGCAAGTACACGGCGAGGCGACTCGACGAGGCCACGTCGCGCGCTCGAGACTTGTTCGACATCAGTACAGTCCGCGGCGCTGCCGCGTATGACCATATATGACGTTCGTATCCGCGCTATGACATAATGCTTAAGGCCGCGGTCACACGAGCGTAGGAGAGCTGTCGTGCAGAAGGCCCGTCCGTCGCGTCCGATCATTCGTGCAAGTTCGACTCACGGACCAGGAGACGTCATGTATGCGACCGCCTCCTCACGCTCGTCACGCATCTTTGACGTGACGCAACCCACAGACGTCGTACCGACGTCTGACATTTCGACCGCCCGTGTGAACGTGGCTTAAATCAACGTCCAACAATCTTCCTGTTGTGTTACGCGTGTCGCGTTACACAAACGCGATATCTCTTCTTCATGATTTCGTCATCGCGCCTGATTCATTGCGGGATCAAGCGGAAATTCGATAACGACATCGCGGTTGAGAGCGCCACGATAAATGTGAAGACGATCGGACGACGATAGCGCGTAGGCGAAGGCGACTTTTCCCGTCGTCGCCGTCCCGCGAAATCGACAGGAGGATCTTTCAAATCTGTCGAATATGCACGAGCGAATTCGGCCACGGAGCAGCGCCTTGAACGGCACGCGTGCGTGTCGCAAGCACTCACGACGGATGACAATTGTCCATCGCACCCACACTAAGCTATGCATTACATACACACGCGCTCACACATATACACACATACATACACCATACAAAGTCGCGAAAGCGAGAGAAGACACACTTACTTGAATGAATTGTATCGTAATCGCCGATTTCCCGACACCACCCCCACCCACGACAACGAGCTTGTAAGTTTGCGCGTAGCTCTGTCTGTCAGCAGCTTTCGACATCTTCTTTTTCTCACTTGCCTACGATGTTCGTCGCGTTTCCTCGCGCTCACAGAGCGGTGGTGACGGAGAGCTCTCTCTCACTCACTGGCGCTGCGCGCGCGCGCGATCAAATGTTCATCCCGCGTCCGGAGTGCTCCACCGAATGAGCCGATAATGCGAGTCCGTCGCTCCTCCGCGACTGCTCGCAACGTCACACGGTGGTCTTCGTGGCGGCCCTCACGGACGTTCTCTACGGTCTCGGCTAGAGCCAAGGCTGAGCCGTTCCGCGAGAGAGAGAGAGAGAGAGAGAAAGCGAGCGAGCTTTGAGCCTCGGGCGGCCTCGGAGCCATTCGTGGTCGCGAGACTCGTCAACTTTTTATGGATGACACTTAACGAGCGCGGCCACCATATATCGTCGCGAGTTCGCGAGACAGCCGCTCGTGGCGTTTACGCTTCCCCCGCGACTCGCTCCCGTCCGGCCGCCGTTCCCCGCGTCGACTGCGGGGGAGCGTCTTCGCTGACCTTCCTCGCCCGGCAAGGTGGAGCCGCGGAACGACTCGGAAACGCACATGGTAATTTCAATGCGCCCCTGGTAAACGGCCAAGTTGCTCCTTTATTATTCGAAGTAACAATGAGAAAATGACACACACACACACAATTATACAGCTCTTGATGGCGCTTGCTCGTAACTTATCTAACCGGCTCACCACAGCTCGAACTTTGTTTGGCCGAGGGTGCTCGAGAGAATCGCTCGTAAAGTAAACCTTAATATCGAACAAAATCTATCCTGCGCGTGAGACGACGAGCCTGCAGAGACGAGTCTTTTTTTTCATTTGGTCTATCGCTTCTCGCAAACCTTGCATCGTACATAAGACAGTATGTTGTTGCGTATGCGCGCATATGCCACACATATACGCTTAGCTTCTTAAAAACAACTATAGACAGGTAAGATCTCTCCGAGAATTTTAAGATGCTGCGGAATAAATTCGACGACGCCTCGACGTACTCGGTTGCTCTCCTTCGAGAGCGACGTAAGTCTACGTAGGAAGTGTCGGAAAAGTTTCGAGACTGCGAATGAATCGTCGCGAAGTAACGTTCGGAAAGCGAATCAGTGGCTTGTCATTTTCGTACAGATTTTTCCGTACAGTTTCGGGGCGACTTTTCCGACTTACGGATATAATTGCCGAAGGTGTCTCTCGAATATATGTATATCTTTCCTTCGTGACAATCTTCAACTCACGTTCACGTTTCAGCATTGCATGCATAATCAAGCTTGTTTTCGGAACAGCCATCTCGATTTTTTGAATGCCGAGTGGAGGGAAATTTAACAGAGAATTTGGAAAAAAGGGATGAAGTTTGCTTCGTTCGAATAGAATTCAAATAGAGTCGCAACGCCAAGTTCAATAAGGATCACCTCGAGACAAGCCAGACATAGACTTTTTTTTCGGGATTTCGCTTTATTGTAATTCATTCAGTTCTGCGACTTTTTCGGCACACCCCGGCGTAACATTTTGATCAAATTCCGTTGGTTTTTGCTCCGATATTGCACTGATGAGGATTCATCATGTGTCGCATGGCAATCGTCACGTGAATTCATTTGTCTGCACAGCGAATAATTTATTGATTCCAACATATTACGCATGCAACGAACGGAAAAAAGTTTTCGAGTAGAAAATCTCTACGACGCACTTAGACAAATATATCGTTCGCTTAATTAAGGCCCCAGTGTATCTAACTTATTGGTAGCTTGAAGAAATCGCGTTTGCATCCTCTACGATTTGCGCGACAAAATCTCTGTGTACAGTCTTGTGAAAATTTCAAGATCGACAAACCACTTAAAAATTGCAGCAATCACTAGAATTTTTATTCATTTATCCCTATTAGATGCTGTCTCTCCTCCCTTGTCCGCATGTCATCCGAAATAATCCCCGATTCGTCCGCCTCTCTTTCACCGATTCTTTCTCCCTTTTTCCTTAGTCGCCAACATTTCGAATCGTGTTTGAGGAAAGTGTGAAGCTTCATCTGCAATGTGCTCTTTGCCGCTCGTTTCTTTCTGTTTATCTCTTTCTGTGACTCTAAGCCTTAAGCCGAAAAATAACAGAGAAACAGGAAGCAAAGAGCGCATTGTGGATTAAGCTTGATTTAACACGGCATGTAACAAAAGAAAAGGAAGGAGGAAGTGCAAGCTAATTTTCCCGCGCGCATAGAGCCCAAGACACACTGACGTGTTCTCCTCTTTTTTTCTTTTTTTTCCTTTTTTCTTCCAAATGGTATAATCCAAATGATCAAAACCGATTTATATCATTAGTATCGATAAACACCCAAAAATAAGGGGTCAAGCGGCACCTGTTATTATCATGTAAAAATAATGCAACGTCCGCGTTATCTCGCGCATATCGACTATCCCACCTCTAGATGATTTGTATGTCACAATTAGCAACTCGTTCCACGCGTGTATATACACCATACATACATATATATATAATGCGATTGCAAGACCCGATCGCGCACGAGGTGCCCGAATGTGCACCAAGTCAAATCCGGGCACGGTCGCGCATGATACATTTATAATTTAGCGCTTATCTCGATTATCGCGTAGTGGTCTTACGGCTTCCTCAACGCTAACACAGATAATAATGACAGGGATGGCAATAGTGGATAACAATAGTTGTGAGAAATAATAGCGGGAATAGGACTAATGAGCAGTAGTGATAGTGGCGGCAAAATAGTATACTAATAACAATAATATAATAATAATAATAATATAATAATAATAATAATAACATGAGAGACGACTTGCGACGAGTAGCCACTGCGGTGCCTCTTCGCAGGATGCGTAAGGCCCGCATGCCCGCTCTGCAGGACGGTCACAGGGCGGGCCTGACGGGCGCAAATCATTTAAATTATAATAATAGCAATAATAATAATAACGATGCCGAAATATCGGTAATATTGACGATAGCGGTACGAAGGATTGATGGCCGTTCGTTGCGTGGTTTCGTGTTACGCGATCGGCGCGACACAGACTATAATAGCGGGAATGACGTTGATGACGCGACGATGACGACGACGACGACGACGACGACGACGACGACGACGATGACGACGACGACGACGACGGCGATAATGATGATGACGACAACGACGACGAGAACAAGGATGTCAATGTCGATGTAAACCGAAATAAAAAGCGAGAGTGATGTCGGGATTCGCAGTAGAAATGGTACGCTTCAGTAAGCCGACTCGATTTGCTGATCGAGCGATTTAATAATTTTTGCAGGCATTTTCCTCACAAGTTTTCATGTTCTTTCGAAAGGGAGGGGAAGAGGGCGGAGAGATAGGGGGCGGGGGAGAGAGAGGGGGATAATAATAGGATAAGATAATAAAATTACTAATCGATAATAACATAAGGCAATATGTGGAGGGTCTCGCCCTGGTAACTGGGCCTCGCCAACATCTGATGCCACTCCCGAAACTCCGCACCGTCAGTCTGGTTGTTGTTGTTGTATACACTTTTTACACCACCTGTGTTCGATAATCCGACCGACACTCCGTTCCCTTGATTTGTAGCCAGGCGCTGCTCTCCGCCATCGTCCGTACACGCAGCCGACGGTAGCCTCGCCTGGTAATTCCCGTTAAGTCCTTCGACACACTGCATCTGTAACCTCTCCAGATCCTCGACGGTGGGCTCCGGCCGCGGCGAACACTCGACGCCGTTCCGCTCCTCCGTAGACTCGACAGGCTCGCAATCACTCCAGTCTATCGACTTGAGGTCTAGGGGTGGTAATTTCGCCAGAATCTCCTCGACCGTAAGATCCCGCCGCGGGGATGATCGACACGTCGACGAGCCGGCAGCGACATCCGTCCTATCGTCGCGCGATCTCTCTTGACACGAGTCCGGCGAACGTTCGCGACAGTTCTCCGCGGACTTACGACTCCGTGATACCTGTGTCCTGGAGTCGGACGACGTCTCAGACGCCAGGCCGCCCTTGTGGTGACTCGAGTTCTTCTGCGAGCAGCGCAGATACTTGGACTCACTACTGTTGCCTCGCAGAATATCCTCCATGCTGGGTGGCTCCGCGACGCCGCTTTGACTAGGTAGGACAGCGCCGACGGCGCTGCTGCTACAGTTGGCACCGCGCGCTTGCAGGTCGGCCAGTAACTCCTGCGTGGTCTTTAGCTTCGGATTCCTCGAGATACTGGCTATCTTCTCCTTCACGCGGTCGTCCAACAACGTCTGTCGTTTCGCGGACTTGCTGCCTTTCTTGCGGCCGCGTTTCTTCGGGCCCGACTCGTCCGTGACTTCGAGGGAAGTCTCCGCGAAACGATCGGAGGAGATTCGTTCCTTCAGCGTAGGGCTAGGCACTTGCAAATTTAAATTACCACTTATGTTCTCGCCATTGTGCCGCTGTCTCTTGACAGTGGGCTCCTCGACCCCGAACATCGACTGCGTGAACTCAGGCAGTGTTTGATAATAATGGCGTTGCTCCTTGTTGCCGTCCTCTTTTCGTAGCCGTTTGTTGGAACTGTGTGTACGCGGCACCGCCTCCGTTGTATGGTTTTGGCTCGAGGAGCCGAACACCGGCGACACATTGGTGGAACTTATCCTGTGGTTGCTGGTCAGTATAATTGACTGCTTGTTCAACGGCGCGTTAGGAGATCTCGAATGGTCACTGTGCAGGGATAGCGCTGGACTAAGCACCTACAAACGCAAATTTATGTATATCTAACAACTTTGTAACATAACTTCGTGTCAAATTAAGATTCAACCATGTCTAAGTAATGTAATTATATAATTATGTACATAGTTAATATTAACAATTTCTTGACTTTACTCGATTATAGGGTGCTATGAGCATTCCTATAATAAATTCCATTCGCGATTTCAATTTTTTTCTCTAGAATAACCATCTCTAACTCAGAACTTATAACAACTTCTAATCTCAACATATTCGCTACCACAGTTCATCTGGGGACCACAGGGTTCATGTGGCCCACAGATCACATTACATTTATTTTCGTCTAATCACGTAAAACAGACTTAATCTGTTTATCACGCAGCTTATACACAAAGGAAAGCATCATTGCACACATATGTGACGCTGGTAGCGAACGTGTCAAGTAGAGTTGAAAATTTCAAATAAAAATGAACTTGAAGTGAGAGAACGGTACGTCCACAACACATATGTGACGCTGGTAGCAAATTAACAGTTGCTGGCTGTTAATCGGCCCCCTTGCTTTCAAACAACTCTGCAACTTACTCTGAGGGAAGTGGCATCTTTCAATAAGGGACTCTGAGGCTTGAGTCCGCGTAAAGCAGGACTGTGCGGTTTCAGACTTCTCAAGGCCGGGCTGTGAGGCTTCGCACCGTTGAGAGCTGGTGGTGCTGTGTCAGCCGGGGTAGGTTGCGGGGTGGAGTGCGCCGATGGCAAAACCATGTCACGCCATCGGCGCACCAGATCCTTCGCACGCCTGGCCAAGGCATCGTTGTCCGTCTTTCGACGAAGCTCGTTGATGTGCTTCCCGAGTCTCGTGATCTGTCAAAAGTCGTTGCATTATGCAACAATTCCTCCACGTATACACAAACGCATTCGCCCGACTCAACGTGTTACCATTAACAATCGCTTCACTACAAGAAGTTGCAATTTACGTGTGTGAAAAAGATGTATTATTCTGGCATGAATTGTATTTAGTATTTATAGCTGCATTCTTTTACCAACAAAATATCCTATATAATTTATAATCTTGTGGAAAGATATGATTGTCTATTGAATATTGCTCAGTCATTATTACATCATCCTATTGATCCAAAGCAACGTCTCTTCTATGCCTTCATCCAATTTTTGCTATAATGGATTTATTTGATTCATATTTAAAAGCATTGAGGATATTATCACAAAAAATATACATATACATATATATATATATATATATATATATATATATATATATATATATATATATAGATAGATACACAACGACATAGGAAGAACAATAACTCATACATTGATATGTAGCATATTTTATATACATTTTCATAAAGTATACCTTATGTACAGTAGAACATTATAAACTCATTAACTTATTGATTTTACCTCCAGCACCTCTTTGGTGATCGTCGTCTTTTCCAGAACCGAAATGATGTCAACAACAACTCCCATGTCGATGACCTAAGACAAAAATATAAGACTCTTAGAAATTTTAATAATATAATTTGTTGCAATTAACATTCTAAGTGTGTAGATATTAGGACATTTGGTAGAATGGCTCTAACAACAAGTTCTGCTGATAAACGTATTGTACAGCAAGTACATTGCACACCAGGTCGAAAAGCAAATCACTATTATAATGGAAAACAAAAATGTATTTATAAATTAACGAGCTGTCATCGATATTTAAATAAACGAGCAACATTGCCTTTGATATATTTAAACAAAGCCTTAAAAAATTAGAATCTCAAAATCCGAATCCTGAGATAATGCCTCGAGACACAATACACCGGAATTGTAGATAAAAATGCTGGATGACAGGTAACAAACTTCTGAATAGGAAAGTTACACAAAACTCTAAAGTCACGGATATTTGAAATTTAATTTCGAGAATAATATACGACTCGACACAAAAGTTTCGAGAAAATTGAGTTTTGGAAAATCCCCATAAAATGGTTTCAGGAACAATAGCATTTCAAAGCTCTTCAAATTTCCATGGAATTTTTCTTCATAGAAATTTCCATGTGGAATTCCATTTTCAGAAATTTCGAGAAAGAACAATTTAGGGAAACTTTATTTGTAGATTAAAGGCTTGGGGAGGACGTTACCACTTTACGAATTTCGTCACTTTCCGTGACTTTTCTAATCTATATTTAATTAGTCGCTTTTTTTCCTAACTTGAACGTGTGCATCGAAAGAGTTGTGTGTGTGTGTGTGTGTGTGTGTGTGAGAGAGAGAGAGAGAGAGAGAGAGAGAGAGAGAGAGAGAGAGAGAGAGAGAGGGAGAGGGAGGGAGGGACGGAGAGAGGGAGGGAGAGATAGATAGTTAGAGAAAGGGAGGGAGAG